CTTCTTCCCATTCGGGTTGGGTTGATCCAGAAGTATAGTAAGAACGAATGGAACCACTGGAGAGCGTCTTTAATGAGTTCCAATCTACAGCCTCTATTTTTCTAAAAAAAAAAAAAATGCATTTAAATATGCATAGCAAATATACATTTTGCTATCGTTATGTTTAAGATAGCTTTGAATCTAGACAGAGCTATGTATAATGTTTGGTTTTCCTTTTGTTAAGTCGGCTTGACTGAGTTCCTGATAAATTGTATTGTTTAAGAATTTTTTTTAAAGATTATCTATTTTGCTTGTGAGACATTGAAGCATTGTAGATGATCACTAAAAATAGATAACATTATTCAACACAAAGAAAATAAGGTCTCTATATATCATTTTTACTAATTTTTGAGTAATGTTATGTAACACAACTATTATTGAACATCAATTTAGGTGACATCAATAGATAAAATAATTTAAATAGAACCCATATTTCTACATTTTTAAATGGATAATGTTATGTAGTATCATAAATGCTATAGCCAATCTATGGTGTTAAGTTGGGTGAGCCACTCATGGAGCCCCACAACGAGCCTAATTGACTTAGCTTGCGCCCAAGGCGAGTTGTGGGCACTCTTTGAGTAGCAAAATACTTGTGCGAGCCACTCATCAACCCGTACGAGTTGGCTCATGAGCTCATAGGCTCGCCTCACCAAATGGACGAGTTGGTAGGATGAGTCGAGCCTACATTTGGTGAACCAAATCGGCTCATGCTTGGCTCACCCAATAAGCAAGTGCGAGTTAGCTTGCATGGTTAGTCAACTCAAGCCCAATCGTGGACGGGCCAACGACTATTCTCGACCCATTAAACACCTTTACATCAATTTGTGTGTCTTTTAAGTGATAGATTGTCTTAAATAGAACCTATGTTTTTATTCTTAGCATGATATATCAATTAGTGATACTTAAATGCTAATTAAATTTATGCTAAACAACATTACTCTTTCAAATGTGTTGTCAATTATACTAAGCCTCTTGTAAAAAAAAAAAAAATTTATTAATGGTTTATGAATTCAATCTAAATCAATTATTAATTTTAATTACATATTAATAACTCTTATTCATTATTATTCACATATTTATCTATAAATTATTTATAAATTTACCAAAGGAAAGCTAATAGTTAACTCCAATTGTGCTGTGATTTTGTCAAACTTTGCACATGTCCTAATAATTGCAATGACAATGAAGTCTTCCCTCGATATTTTTAAACTTTGTAACATTATTAAATTCAAACATC